TCTATATGCATCTCATATAGCCACTAATTCGCAATCATAAACCATAAACTTACCTAGCACTTACATGTGAGTCCGCAGCACCAAACATACATATATGCAACTACTAATGCATAAATAAATAGGCAAACGCTATGCATGGCATTTAAAACATTTAAAAATTCCATATCATTTTCTGGGAAACCTACAAGTATATGAGTATATATGGAAAACCAAAAGCCCACTCACTGGTATGTAGAAGGGTCGTAACCCCCTTATCTCGAGTGACTACGCTCGTCCTCAGGATAGGTCTCACCTATATACGAAACAACTATAAAAACTTTAATTTAAAGCACATAACCAAAACTAGGCAATAACATCTCATATAATGCTCAAATGAGGTGCGTGAATACACCAACGTGATCTACTCAACCTCACGAACATCCCCATATTTTTAAAATAATTTTCCGATCTCCTAAGTTCTCTTTTTTTTTTTTTTTTTTTTTCTTCATTTCTTAAATTTATTTAAAAGGTAAAAATGATATCAAATTTCAACTATGTAAAAATAATGACAGGTGGCAAAATTTAAATGAAAGTATCACGGTTGTCGTGCTATTACTGTCACTATAATTTATCTGTTTGTAGATAGTTTAATTTTAAAAGTTAATTTTTGTTTATTCATAAACTGGTTGGGTGTCCAAATAAATTCAAAATTAGGATATGGATGGCCAAAGAAATGAGATGTGTCTAAAAATAATTTTGTAAACAAAATTTCCTAATTATAATTTGGGTTAATATCAGTTTATTATTTGAAGTTTTTTTATTTTTAACATTTGATACATTAAGTTTTTTAGTTTTCATAAAGTCATAATTCTGGAATAATTTCATATATCAGTTAAGTTTTCCGTCAAAAGATCTGTTAACTGATGACATGGTATCTATGGGATATAGACCCATGTAGATATTAAAAAATTAATAAAAGTTAATTTAAAAAAAAAAAAATCTTGTGCGTTCCCTCTCCTCTTCCCCCGCACATCCTCCCTTAAATCCCAGATTTTGGTCTGGATTTTCCGGGAATCCAAACAGGAAAAGAGGGAGAGAAGGATACCCAAATCCCAGATTTCACCTTCCCGCATCCTGAAGTCGCCACCCAAGTCTCCAGCGTCTCCGTCTTCCTCTCCGCCGTGGAAGCTCGAGAGCTTGGCCGCCAGCTTTCCCTGGGTTTGCAACGCCACCGTCAAGCAGAGGAGGTCGAAATCGACGACAGCGGGGAGGATAGTGCTGGGGCCCGATTGGACGTTGGCGTTGATTAGGCTTCGATCTCATCGGTGTCAGATTGGGAGAAGGTGTGGACGGAGACGGTGTCGCGTTCGGAGTGCGGGGAGTCGAAGAGGGAGAAGAGGTTTGGGTGGGTGGGTGGAGTTGAAGAGGGAGAGAAAGGGTGGATGTGCGGGAAGTGAAGTGGAGAAGAGGGTTGGGTGGGTGCAGAGGAGAGAAAGGTGGAAGAAGGGAGGGGGAGGTGGGGTAGGAGACGGCCAAGAATTTTTTTTTTTTTTAGATTTTTGTTATTTAAAATTTTTTCTTATTTTACAATTTGTTTCATTTAAATTTTTTTTTAATATCTACGTGGCCTATATTGACACGTGACATCCCAACATTGTTCACGTGGGCGCTACGTCATTAGTTAATAGGGCTTCTGACGGAAAAATTAACAGAGGTATGAAAGTGTCCCAGAATTATGATTTTAGGTACCAAACTGGAACGAAAAAAACTTGATGCACCAAATGTTGAAAACTAATAAACTTCAGGATAGTAAACTGAGATTACCCTACAATTTATACATCATTAGTAGAGAAATGTTGAAAAAGACTATCTCAAAGTATGGCTTTTTTATGCACTCTCAACCACTTTACAATTTAACAACTATATAGTTGTTAAAGAAAAATCATTTCTTGAGATGGAGCATTAGTAATGACTAATGAGTTAGTTGGGGGTTGGAAGATTCAAAGTATAACATTGACAGGATTCTATTTTTCGGTCCAATTTGCAGACTTTAGTTTTATTTTCTTCCATGCTTAATTCCATATTGGACATTTCGACATTGAAAACCTTAATCATAATAACAAGAAGAAATTTCCATAAATTCATCAATACGTGATTTTGACATTTTTGTTAGCTCGAAATTATGTGGTGCAAGTGAAAAGTCGTTTGGACCTAAATCTGAGTGGGGCGCTCATAGATGACTTAATGGCCATGCATGAACCTTGAATCAACGTTTGAAATTTATTCAATACGATTCATATTTTTGTAAAAATATCTGTAAGTTAGAGAAAGACATCGAAATGAGAGTCAAGTCAAACCTTTACCCCACATCGAAGAAACTCTTGAATTTTAGCTAAAATACTTAGATTTCGTCAATATTTCTCACATATCGGTTAAACATCAGAGAAATTCTTGTATTTCCTCTAAACCAGTGTTTGACATTCCTTAAAGCTTCATTTCAAATTTTCATCGAAAATAACCGATACCAATATCAATATTATCAATATTTCCACAAATTTACATTTTGATATCTTTACCTATTGCCTTGAACTAACAATAACATGCAATAATCGGTTCAATGTCAAATAAGTATTAATAAAAATTGGGTAGATAAAATGGGGTTAGATATGTGGTGTAGGTTCTTTCGTGATAAAAGTCACATAGTTCCTTTGGTGATAAAAGTCATATACTATTTGTGTTTAAAAAAAATAAAATAGTTTTAATTCAATGAAAAATAAAGTAAAAAGGGGAAAAAGTATGAAGTGCGAGAGAGAAAGTGGAAGAGTAAAATTATGGTCACATGTGGATAAGGGAAGAAAAACCAACAATTTTTTCCCAATTTATATTTCTGCTCAGGATTTTATTGTGATATTTTTATTGAATTGTAAATAAAGAACCAAATTATTTTTTTCACTCTTTTTTAGTTGACAAAGAAAATTTTATTAACAGATAGTCTAGATTATAAAATAATGCAGTTTCAATTGTTTACCACATATTTCTATTTTTTTATTCTCTCTCTTTTTTTTTTTTTAATATAGATTTGTACCTTTACACGACCAAAAAGAAAAGAGGGCAGCAAAGACAACTTGATTCTAAATTGCTTGAGTCTGAACTACTTATTGACTTGATTGTCAAAGAGCCTTTGGCCAACACACACCCCTCCACCCCAGTCTTAGGTTTGATCACAATTATTCTCTGTTTTGCAGATAGCTTGAGTTAGTGCCTTCACCATCGCAGCAATGCACAAATTTAGTTCCAACACTACTCACAGAGCCCTTATTAGGAATATAATATAAGTTCACACTGCAACTTTCCGATTACTATTTTAAAGAGACAAGGACTTCAACACTAATGGCGCGTTTACGTAACCATATCAAAATGGAGGAATTGGATTGAAGATGAATTGAATTGAGGAGGAATTGGATTGAGGAGAAGTCAGAATCAGATTACTGTTGAAACTGTTTACCTAAATGTTCTGGAATCGGAGTATGAATGAACTTTAGTTTATATAAGTTGTTTACTAATTTAGATGAATCGGAATATAATCAATAAGATTATTGAAATGGCCCTTATTGTTTTTTGTTTTATTTTATCCTATATTTATTTTTAATAACATTTAATTAGGAGTTAAGATCAAAGAGCAAACATTTAACAAATATTTTTTACATTTTAGTACCCTGTAGAAGCACCTCTATCTCTCTTTGATTTTAAGAATAAACAAAACATTTCATAAAATAATTTATTAAAGAGAAAAATAAATTGCAATAAGTAGTGAGAAGAAAAGAGGTCAGAGCCCTCTTTAGTTCTCAAAACAGGACGGTCTCCGTAGTCAGGGAAAAAAAAAATGTTCTCCGTCCTCTTTGTTCTCAAAACCAGACGTGAAAAGGAACCCATATCTCTCTATCATTCTGGGTTTTGTTAGAAACTTGATTCTCATGATTGTTTGATTTGTATCATTGTATGTGGTTTTGTATTGTTTGCATCGAGATCGTCGTTGAAGCTCACCGTGAGTTGATAAAGATGAAATTCCAGGACTCTGTGATGGACTGGAAAGGTGAAGTTGTTGGGGTACTTTCGGATTAGCCAAAAATCATGAGGGTCGTTTCGGTATAAAAGTTAGAATCCAAATGAGAAGAGTTTCTCCAGGAATCCAAATACCAGGTCTCTCCTAAGAATCCAAATCCGAGAATTTCCGGAGTGTGATTCCAGATTTTAGATGACCCCATGTGTGTTTGATTCCCTAAAATTTTAGTAAACACTAGAATCCTTTCAATCGGGAATCATTCATTTTCATTTCATTCCAACCCCGGTTGGTAAACACGCCATAAGTGTAACAAAATTCAAAATCTTATCAGACAAAGACCATAAAAGTGTAAGAAAATTCAAAGTCTTCGCAGAAAAAGACCATTAAAGTATCAAAAAATACAATTTATATCTTAATACAACATTTGGATCAAAAGTCAAAGATAACAAAAACAAATTAAGGATATGCAAATTAATAATGCATCTCACTATAAATAACGCCCTGAGTTGCTTAAAAAAAGTATACACAAACCATGGTGAGATTTTCAACTTATTGTGATAAAGTATGCTTTCTAGCCTGCCTTTTCTTATATCTTCAGCTAGCTTCATCACCAAAAAGTGCTTTTGCTTCTCTGCCAATTCCACTGAAGCAGAAGCACTTCTCAAATGGAAAGCTAGCTTTCAAAACCAAACCCAAAACAAACCTGACCTCATGGATTGATGCAAATGAAACCCCATGCAGTACATGGGTTGGAGTTTCATGCAACTCAGCTGGAAGGGTCAAACAGATTAAACCCTCAGCAATTCTGGTATACAAGGTACTTTACTTCAATTTCCATTCATGTCCTTGCCCAATTCTTTGCATATGTTGATCTAAGCTTCAATGAACTTTTGATCAAATCCCACTTGAGATAAGTTCCCTCACCAAACTCGTCTACTTTGATGTATCTTATAATCAAATGTCTGGAAAAATCCCACCCAAAATCGGTCTTTTAACAAATCTTCAGGTCCTTCACCTAAATGCAAATAAGTTCAATGGCTCAATTCCTCAAGAAATAGGCCAACTTAAATTTGTATATGAGCTAGCTCTAAACTTAAACAATTTAGAGGGTTCGATTCCTGCTTCTGTGGGTAATTTGAGCCAATTGACTTCTTTGATTCTCTCCGGAAACCAACTTTCGGGTTCCATCCCTCCCGAAATAGGAAACCTTTCAAAATTGGTTAAACTTTACCTGTTTGACAACTATTTATCAGGCCCAATCCCTCTGAGTTTTGGAAACTTGAAAAATCTAACCATCAAGTTGTACAACAATACCCTTTCTGGTTCGATCCCAACTTCTTTGAGCAATTTGACAAACCTTGTTTCTCTCTCTCTCTACGATAATAAACTTTCCGGCTCTATTCCTGAAGATATTGGAAACTTGAAATTTGTTGTGACTCTAGACTTGGCCAACAATCAGCTCAATGGAACCGTTCCCTCTTCATTCGGCAACTTGAGCAGCCTAGAAGACCTATACCTCCGCGGCAACCAGCTATCTGGATCAATCCCCCAAGAGATGGAGAATCTAATGAAGTTGACCATACTTGTCTTGGCTACTAACCGATTTTCTGGTTATTTGCCTCGAGATATTTGTAGAGGTGGACTCCTACAAAGGTTAACTGCACAAGAGAACGAATTTACAGGTCCAATCCCGAAAAGCTTGAAAGGTTGCAAGAGCTTAGTCAGAGTCAGTCTCCAACGGAACCAATTTACAAGCAATAATATATCTGAAGACTTTGGTGTCTATCCGAATCTTGAGTTTGTAGACCTAAGCCACAACAACTTAGATGGCGAAATCTCAGACATCTGGGGACAGTGTCCAAACTTAACAACCCTTCGGATTGCAGGAACAACCTTACTGGGAGCATACCATCTAAGATTGTCAATGCAACTAAAATTCAAGAACTCGATTTTTCTTCGAATCATCTGGTTGGGGTGGTTCCCAAGGATTTGGGGAGATTGACTTCTATGGTGCATCTAAAGTTGAATGGCAATCAACTTATTGGTTCTATACCCTCGGGATTTGGAGCATTCACTAAACTCGAATATCTTGACGTGTCCACCAACAAGTTGAATGGCTCAATTCCAAGCATTTTTGGCGAATTGGTCCATTTATATTACTTGAATTTGAGCAACAACAATTTCAGTCAAGAAATTCCACTTCAGTTGGGCGAGTTATTTCACCTGTCACAGTTAGATTTGAGTCATAACTCACTTGACGGCAAGATACCATCAGAAATTAGCAAAATGCAGAGCTTGGAGCAGCTGAATCTTTCCCACAATATCTTTCCGGTCTCATTCCAGCAACGTTTGATAGAATGCGCAGCTTGTTGTACATAGACGTATCCTACAATCACTTGCAGGGTCCCATCCCCCAAAACAAAGCATTTCAAGATGCTCACAGCTTTGAAGGGAATGTAGGATTGTGCGGAAATGTTGTAGGACTAGAATCCTGCAATAAGCACGTCTCAAAAAGAAAAAACAATAGAAAACTCGTGTTTGCAATGTTTTCCCTATCTTGGGAGCAGTTTTACTTGCTTTCCTTGCAATTTTCTTCATCAAAACAAGAAGAAAGAGAGAGAGGGAAACAAAAAAGAGTGATATCCATGATGAAGTTTTTTCAATCTCTTTTTGATGGAAAAAAATGTATTTGGAGATCATAAGAGCAACCAATGGTTTTGACTCCATATTTTGCATTGGGAAGGGAGGATCTGGAAGTGTCTACAAGGCAAAGCTACCATCAGGCAGCATAGTTGCAGTGAAGAAACTCCATCAAAAACTTGACGGGGAGGAGACATCGCTGAAGGAGTTCCACAATGAAATAAGTGCACTAATCAATATACGACATCGAAACATTGTGAAATTTTGTGGCTTTTGCTCAAATTCACAGCACTCCTTTCTGGTCTATGAATATCTAGAAAAGGGTAGTCTGGCTTCAATCTTGAGGAAAGAAGACGAAGCAAAAAGATTGGATTGGAGTAAGGAGGGTGAGAATTGTAAAAGGCGTAGCTCATGCACTGTCTTACCTGCATCATGATTGCGTGCCGCCAATTGTA